CCCACCTTCCCTTACCTCTTTCTTCTTCCCTTACCTCTCCTCTGTCACTGTTTATGTGAGGGCACGAGTCCATGTATATATCAAATATATACTGGTCTTCCAGTGCAACTTCATGGCTTGTCTAAAGTGTCCTGCGACCTTCTGTATGGTGGGAATGTTGAAATTGCTCATAGGTTTTATTCACTCTTTTCACAGAACTATAGTTCCAAAAAAATTTGGGAAAAGGAGAGAGTACGCATCAGTATTCAAACTGGAATCAAGACTGTGTGCCAGAAAGTTTGGAGACCACTGTTTTAAAAGTTACAGTATAGAGAAGTTAGCTAGTTTCCTGTAACTTGATTTTTTTTTAAAGACGGTGCCTGCCATATTTTAACAGCTATTTTAATGGGGGCATTCTCCATTTAAAAATGATATAAGTTTAACCCCCCCATGAGAATGAAAACCTTGAAAGAGATACTGGAGTAATTTCTGCTCGCCAACTGAAATAAGTTTACCATATCTCAGTTATAACATTTTAGATGACTTGTTAGGTGACAACAAAGAGTTGGGAGTTTTCCGTAGCTCTTTGCTGCACAAGGATATAATTGTCCTAATTAAAATGTAAATTTCTCCTATGAACCTTCAAGGGCATTCTACTTGGCTGTCTTGTTTCCTGTGCTCCTAAACCATGAAACGTTATAAATTTCTAATCTTGCAATCACAAAATTCCAAATCCCGCAGAATTTATTCCCTTTCTTGCAGAATCTACTGCACACTTTATCGTGGCCTTATTTCTACACTATTATCCATTTCATAGTTTGACCTGCCTTTATAGCAGACGGTCATTTGCACGTCATAGAAAAGATGCACCAAGAACAAAAGTTGTGCTTGTTGGGTCATTGTGCAGCTATTGGAAAAGATAGTGGGGATCGGTCAACCGTGGAACCTAATGGCCATCAGGCTCATCTGATAACTAATGACATCTTTATCATATGATTGCAGTGTTTTGACCTTGGCTTCCACCTGTCGCTGGGCAAAGTGCTGAGGACCTATCTAGCCGCAGAGTCACGGGCCCAGGCATCTTGGCAACAGGGCCTGTGCGCCATTGAAGGGGTGGTTGATGCTTTGGATCCATTGGGAGATAAGTCCAGGATGATGGAGGCCAACCCTGCAGCCTATTGCCCTCCTCTGTCTTTTGACTACCAGCCTCATGAAGGCGACGAGGTGAGAGGATTCCTGGCTGCTTCTTCTTCTACAGGTTTTGCTCTCTGCCCAGGCTGGCCCTTATTATTTCTTTCCTGTACTTTTTCTATCTTCAGGTATCTGAAGTCCGGGCTGAGGGTCCGCTGAGAAATGAACTAGTTTCCCGTTTCCAGCACATCCAGTCTCGCCTCAATTCCATCACCCTGGAGACAGATGAAGTAGGTACCAATAGAGAGAGTGAGGTGCAATTGAAGTGGGGGGATGGGCAGGAATTAATTGCAATTTCAAAAATCAGTTTCGTTAATTTTAGGAACTGCAAAGGAGAAGTGGTGCCTGGAGGGGTGGGGATTCTGGCACTTCTTCCTGCCACTGACTGTCCTGCAGAAGCCTTCCGCTCTACATGGGGCAGCCCTTGAAGAGTATTCAGAGACTTCAACTCGTCCAGAACGCAGCCGCGCGAGCGATTGTGGGTGCACCTCGGTACACCCACGTTACATCTATCCTCCGCGAGCTGCACTGGTTACCGATCAGCCTCCGTATACGCTTCAAGGTTCTAGTCGTAACTTATAAAGCCCTTCATGGTATTGGACCTGGGTACTTGAGAGACTGCCTGCTGCCAATTACCTCCCATTAGATCACACAGGGTCGACCTCCTCCGGGT